CGGCGGCGGCGCCGCGGGGCCGGGACCGAGGCCGGCACGGGCTCTCGTCCGAGCGCGGAGGCAGGAGGCGCTCGGCAGCGTGGGGGCGCGGGAGGGCTGCTCGCTGTTTCCCCGCCAGTGGGTGGTCCTGCATCTCCCCCCGGCTCCCCGCGCCGCTGTGCTTGTGCGATCAATAAATAAGGAGAAAATAAGCGCGCGCACGCCCCGCCGCGCAGGTTAGGATAGGCGTCCCCTGCCTTCCCCTAGGCTTGACCTTTCTGCGCCCCCGCCCCCTCGGGCTCCTCTCGCTCCACCCCAGCCACCCACCAGCCCCGGCGCAAAATGTCACCGAGGGAGAGCATCCAGGTGGATCTGCCAGGGAAGGAGAGCGAGCTTCCGACGAACAAAGGGAAGCTTCACGCGCTCGGCTGCCGGCTGCGGTGGTTTGGTGGAGGAGAGGAGGAAGGGGACCGGTGCCTCTCTTCTCCCTCCCGAGTCCCGGTTCCAGGCGAGCGTGGGAAAAGGGGGTGGGGGGGAAGAGCTAGAGAAGCTGGGAAGGAGGGTGAGTGGAGCGGAACGCGCAGGAATTGGTTGTCTTCTAGGGGCGACTGGGTGGCAAGACCTGCAAAGCCTCAGGCAAAAATGTTGTGTCCCTCTTTCTTTTTTCTATTTTTTTCAAACCAGATGTTAACGTTGCAGGGGTTAACATGGCTTCTCTCCAACTCGCCAGAAAGTCAGGCAGTCCCCTCGGTCTAGGTCTTGCAACAACTCCTTTTCTCGTCCTTTGCGAATGACAGGAGGATGTACAACCTTTTTCTTCATGTCAGCGTCAAGGAGCGTGCGTCTCTAAGTGTGCGTCCCCTTCATCCTCTCTGCGCATCGCTGTGCATGTCTAAAATGGGTAAAGTAGTTAAAGGTGTCTGTGTGAGCGGTAAGTGAGGTGGAGAGAGTCAAGAAAATTGTCGCGGCTAACCGTTTTGTTTTTCGTGTCCCCCCGCCCCCCAGTCATTAGGAATCTTCCTTAAAACCAAACACCTAACATTTCTAACCACTAGATGGCGAGAATGGAGAGAAGTTCAACTTGCACCTAAGGTTTGGATGCTTTAGGAAGGTGAAGGATCAAAATTAACTGATCCAGCAGAAAATCTGATCATATAAACTTCCTCAAATCCCCCGCTGCCACCCACCTTTTTAGTGTTTATGTGAGATATACTACTCAGGCTTGAGTCTGCATTTTATTAATAGGGGATGAGATGTGAAGAGTTTCCTGTTGAAATGCCTTTGAAAATTAAATCCAGATTATTGAATCATAATCATTATCATAATAATAGTAATTAAGAACTTTGGAAATAGTGAGACTTCATCTATTTTGATTAAGAAGAGAAGACTAATTTCTACCTGAAAATTACTTTTCAAGGCTTGGTTTGACTACCTTGGTTTGAAAAGTAAGTGGACTGTGATGTACTGTTCCTAAAATTGACTTTCAATCCCTAGAGATTATAAGCATGATGTGTCAACCTTAAACATCTGAAATGAGATACCTTAAAGAAAATATATGAACTAAAATGGAGTGTAACAAATCACTAGAGACTGGAAACAAAATCTTATAATCTACAGGGTTTTCTGTAGAAATGGAAGGTATTTTTGTTTATTTGTTTACAGATGTAGTGTTTAGGGAATACTGTGTTAGTAATTATTGAAGTCGGAGCTAATGCACCATGTAAGTTTGAACACACGGAACGTAAGACACCTGCTGTTTATCTATTCGTATTAGTTGAAGTGAAAGATGCTTGTTAACGAATCCATAGAGCCTGCATACCTGAAAACAAACACACAAACATCGTGTTAACTGGTAGATAGGAAGGAGGGGATAACCTACCAGTTAACATAAGAAAATTAACTCCATCCTAATCCAGAGAATAATGCAGCCCCATGACAGATGCTGGGCATGGCATCCAGAGAATGGAGAGCCATGAATATTCAGTTACTGCCAGTATTGTCATGCCATCCTGTAAAGATGGGGCAGGCAACCTAAATAGAGCCTTTAAAACTTCCCCCTAGGAATCTGAACATTTACAAATATAAAAGTAGGAGTTTAACTCCACAAAAAGCCTCAAACAATTAAGAATACAGTATTTACAATTTTTAAGAAGGTATTATGATCTGCCCTCCCCCACTCTCAACAAGCATTTTGATATAGTGGAAAGAATGTGGGCTTAAAACTTAAACACATCTGTATTCAAATTCTAGCCCAAGAAATATTTATTGGCTTTGTTTCATTTGGCAAATTACTTTACTTCCAGGATTAGAAGTTGTATATAATAAAACAACTTTTTAGGCCTGTTGTGAGGATTAAACAGGATGATACTTCTGAATAGTGATGTAGTACTTAGCACCAGGAGGGTACTCAATATTAGTTCCTTTTTACTTAAATGCAAAATGCTAATGCAATTCATTTTAACCAGACTTTACTTGGAATTCCCACACACGTTTTTTGTATTCTTGCCTCTGAATTCAAAAATTCTTTGTCCTGATAGGCATGTGACTCTGACATTTTAATATTTATTTATGCATTGAAATGCTACATGAAGAGTGGTATAAAAAATCCAGCAGAGCACTGTATACATCTCCCTTTCCCAGGAATTACTGTTCTTTCCTTTTGTCTTCTCGTTATAGCCTCTGCTTGCTGACTACATGGAAAACAAACTCAGCAAGATCAAAATTGAATTCATCACCCCTCTTCTTTGATTATCTACTTCTCTTTTCTCTCCTGGACAATGAAGTTCTACAAAGAAACCTGGTGGTCATCTTGTTCTTCACTGCTTTTCCCCAGCAAAGACACACACTCATCCAATGACCCAGTAACTGTTATATTATATATTGCACTTTCATTACCAGTCTACCCTTACACTGTGCCTAGAGTGATTTTTTAAAATTATTTTGAGATAATTACAGATTGATCACAGATGTAAAAATAATAGAGATTCCTTATACCTAGCACCTAATGTAACATCTTGCACATTATCATATATAATCACAATCAGGAAATTGACATTGATATTCTCAGTCCATTCAAAGTGCTATAACAAAATGCCATACACTGAGTGGCTTATAAACAACAGAAATTTATTTCTTACAGTTCTTGAAGCTGGAATATCCTAGATGAAGGAGGCAGCAGATTTGGTGTTTGGTGAGGGCCTGCTTTCTGGTTCCTGGATGGTGCTTTCTAGTTGTCTTTTCCACATGGTGGAAAGAGAAGGCAGATCTCTGGGGACTCCTTTATTAGGGCATTAATCCCAATTATGAGGACTCTGATGTTATCATTACCCTCATGACCTAATCACCTCCCAAAGGCCCCACCTCCTAATACCATTACATTCGTGATTAGGAGTCAACATATGAATTTTGGGGGAACACAAACATTCAGACTATAGCAGATACACCAGCCTTATTCAGATTTCACCATTTTACAAACACCAACTTTTGTGTTTATATTTAGTTATATCCAGTTTTATCTCACATGTACATTTGTGTGACCACCATCACAATAAACATATAGAACATTACCATCAGAAAGGTCCCCTTTTATAGTCACAACCTCCCTCCCTCACACTTTCTTTACTCCTGTCAACCACTAATTTGTTCTTCTCTGTAATGTATCAATTCAAGAATCTTATCTAAGAGGAATGATACAGTATATAACCTTTTAAGGTTACATACTTGCCTCAGAAAAGTTAAGTCTGCCAAAAGAATTTATGCTTGTTCTGGCCAACACCTGAACACAGGCCTCCTGTCCCCTAGTCTCTGTTAGAGAATAGGAGCTTAACTTGGGTAAGCACCAGTAACAAACCCAGATGGATTTCATATGGCCTATCTCCCTATTTGATTTTTGTAATTTTTCTCTTTTCTGACTCTACTGAGTCACCCCCCTCACTCAGCCCATCCATATTCCCTTATTCTCCTTTTGAAAAGCCCAGTTACCTCTGTACAAACTGAACAGTTTGGTTCATGCTGGACTCTTTTCCCTATTGCAACAGTATGTTACTGATTAAAATCTGACCTTACCACTTCAGTGTTCCTCAGCTTTGTTTATCTTTGACAGTAGTGATGTCTCATTGTAGTTTTAATTTGCATTTCTCTAATTGCTAATTTTGTTGAACATATTTTTATGTGCATATTTGCCATCTGTATATACTCTTCAGTTAAATGTGTGTTCCTTGTCTTTTGCCCATTTTTTAATTGGAATGTTTGTTTTTTTACTGTTGACTTTTGAGAGTTCTTTGTATATTCCAAATAATTGTTCTGTTTCAGATATTTGTCTGCAAATGTTTTCTCCTAGTCTGTAGATTGTTCTTTCATCCTTCTCACAGGGTCAAAACAAAAGTTTTTAATTCTATGAGGTCCAATTTATCAATATTTTTTTCTTTTATGGATCATGCTTTTGGCATCAAGTCTAAGAACTCTTCCTAGCCCTTTGTCCGAAAGATTTTCTTTATTTTTTCTAAATGTTTTATAGTTTCATATTTTAACATTAAGTCCATAATCTATTTTGAGTTAATTTTTGTGTAAGGTATGAGGTTTTGATCAAGGTTCATTTTTTTTTTCTTTTTTTGCCTATGGATATCCAGTTACTTTAGCACCATTTATTGAAAAGGTTATGCTTCCTATATTAAGTTATTTTTGTGCCTTTGTCAAAAATCAGTTGGACATATTTGTGTACATCCATTTCTAAGTTTTCCATCCTGTTCCACTGATCAAATTGTTTACACCCCCATTAACACCACCCTTTCTTGATTACAAGAGTTGTATAGTCAGCACCAAGTAAAGTGATTCCTTCAGCTTTATAATTTTTTTTTCAAAATTGTTTTAGCTACTGTAGATCCTTAACTTTTCATATAAAATTTAGAATAAGCTTGTCTATATCTGTAAAAAACACTGAAATTAAAACAGGCATTATAAATACACCTATAAATCAATTTGGGGAGAATTGACATGTTCACTATGTTGGGTCTTACAACCCATTAGTATGGTATGTTTTGACAATTAATTAGGACTTTTTTGTTTATTAGCATTTTGTAATTTTCAGGATACAGATATTGTACATGTTTTATTAGAATTATGCCTATTTTATTACCATTAGAGCAATTCTAAATAGTATTGTGGTTTTCTAAATTTCAATTTCTTTATGTTCATTGTTAGTATAGAGTAATGCAACTGGTTTGTGTGTATTGATCTTGTATTTTGCAATTTTCTTGAACTTCCTTAGTTCATGGGTTTTCTATGTGTACAATCATGTCACCTGTAAATAGGGCCAGTTTTCTTTCTTTCTTTTTTCTTTGTAATCTGTATGCCTTTTGGAGTGTTTTTTTTTTTTTTTTTTTTTTTTTTTTTTTTTAACTGACCGGAAACGGGATCGCAACCCTTGGTGTCGTGCCCACCCCCAGGGACCGGCAACGGGATCGTAACCCTCGGTGCTGCGCCCGCACCACGCTCAGCCAGTGAGCGGGAACCGGTCTCCACATGGGATCCGAACCCTCGGCGGGAGCGCCGCCGTACTCCCAAGTGGCGCACTCTCCAGTGCGCCACCGGGCCGGCCCTGGAGTGTTGTTTTTTAATGAATTTGTAACCATGTCACAACCCCTTTCTACAGTCTTCTGTTTTTTCAGAAATAAGTCCTTAGATGAGAATATTGAACTGTTCAGGATCTCAACTTACTCTACACTGTAAACCTCATCTCGTGCTATCTTAACATTAACTGACTCCAGAGTCTTGCTCAGATGTTTTTAGTTTTCAGAATTTAGTGTGTTTTACCTTGATGCATTTCTTTTCTGCAGTTATCAACTGGTCAGCTCAAGAGTCATATCCCCCAGGAACCATTGCCTAACCTCTTCAAAATGATATCTAACTCATGTGCTCCTTCAGAGAGTGTAACAGCTTACATGACACTAGTGTGTATCCCATTTCTTATTCGCTACACTATAACTTCTATGAGGAAAGGCACTGGTCCTTTATCTCAGTATCTCTTACTGTACTTGGCACACAGTAGAAATACTGTGAATGTTTGTTGAATGAGTAGATGAATCTTTTAATTAAATAGTTAACACACCTTTTTTTATTATAGATTATTATCGTAACTCTCCAAATGGATCGTAGAGAATTAAGCTGACTTGCTACCAAAATGTACAACAGGGAAAAAAAAAAATATCTTAACAATGAAACAAATGATCCATATTTGTATTATTCTGTGAAAAGTGCTTTCTCAATGCATTTACTACAGTTGATTTTCAAAAAGGCCTTGTGAGGTGTGCATTATTCTTATGTTTATTTTACCCAAAAGGAAACAAAGCTCAAGGAGGTTAAGTGATTTTCCAGGATTATATTGTACATCTAAGTGGCAGAAAAGGACTCATTCCTAGGCCTTATGACTTCAAATCATATATTCTTGCAGCTCTGTAAACACACCAATATCTGCAATAGGAAAGTCTTTTTGCCAGTGTGTTGTTATTGTTTTCAGTACTGGTGAAAATTTGCAGACAGGTGCATACTGTCTTACATGACCCCCATGTCACATTTCTGTAAGGTCTCTAGCCAGGGTAGGAAGTTAGTTTGTGGTCATGGAGAAGGGGAACACTGCATCTGTTCACCCCATATTTTAACCTGTTATGCTAACTGCCCAGACTGATAAGTTTAAATATTTAAATGATGTATTCAAATAAGATAAATTTAGTATATCTGACTACAATCTTAGAACGGCCTTCCAGACAACTCTTTGTAAAAGTCTGTATTAGATTACTTTGATATAGTATTATCTTTATTTTTAAAAAGATCAGTCCTGAATTAAGAAAGAAATTCAATTAATATGTAAAATAAGCAAAACTTTATCGAGTAATTGAAATTATGTACCTTAAATATTGATTGAATCTAGTAGCATCAAATTTTTATATATCAACATTTTTCTTAAAACACCACATTTGTTTATACTGCTAAATATCAAGAAAAAAAGCAACATATTACCCTAAAATACTTGATCACAAATTGTAAACATTTCACAAAAACTATGATTCTATAGAAAAAAATATATAGTTTATTTTTGTTCATTTTCTGGGTTCCATATTATTTTGAGTTTGGCAGAGGTGCTTTATCCAAAGTTAATTTTGGTTTGGTGCTTTTATTCACTAGAAGATGCACATAAGCTGTCTTTTTTTTTTTTTCCTTTTTGGCCTTTGTTCCCCAGGGAGATAAAATCTGACATGCTAGTAAGATAAGGGGGACATGCGAAAGTCACAGCATAGCTAAGGCTAGTTAAATGCTTAAAATACATTTGGTATTTCAAAAACCTCACAGTATCCCTAGAATATGGTCATCAGGGAAAGAGCAATGACCCTTCCTTTCTTTGGACCACTATTAAAAAGATAAGTTGGCAACCTGAGCTCAACTTCTTTTTGCCCTTTATTAATACTGTCAAAGTCCTTTTCAAAGTCCTCTTCAAAAGATCTTTCCCTTTCCAGGTCTTAGACCTTGAACAGTTCCTATTAAAAATAACCCATTTTTAGGGACTTTATTCCTCGTATACAGAAAATCATAAATACGTTTTATGTAATTGAATGGATTCAACTTTCAAAGTTCTTTCAGTGCTATTCTGACAGTCTGTCACATTCTATGTGATTGGAACTCTGCAAGGCACACAAATTTTGTGATGTACACAATCTAATCATGTTACAGACTTAATTCTACCTCATGGGATGACTGTTACTATGAAGGAATTCAGTAGTTATTTTCACATAAAGAATACTTTTGTGGAAAAGGTAGATTTCGTGTTGTATTCTTAACACACACACATGCACGAAAAGGGACACAGAAACTTTGGGAGGTGTTGGTTACATCTATTACTTTGTTTGTGGCATTGGTTTCACGGGTGTTTGGTTATGTCCAAATTCATCAAATTGAACATATTATGTATGTGCCATTCTTTTTATATCAATTATACCTCTACCTCAATAAGGCTGTTAAGAAATGAATGTTTTTGTTATTAAAATATACTTAGTCTCATAAATGGTGATGCACTTGTTTCTATGACCTAGAAAGGCAGCGGCAAATTAGAAGGGAAAAATTAATTTTTAACGTATTGTTATTACTGATCACTCACAATGTGCAAGGTACCAAGCTGGACATTATGATGACCCAAGTTATTCAAGATAAACCTGCCCTGAAAGAGCTTGCCATCTGGGATTAAAAAAAAAGGGGGAGAGAGAGAGCATGGAAATCTCTCTTAATCTAAAAGTAACCTTGCTTATGAGTTTCATTTCAGAATCTTTTTTTTATGTGTTTCATTCTCTGAGAAACAGCTTATTTGTTAGAGATGGGAAAAGGGGAAGATAAGAAAGAAC